AAATGTTTGGAAATTATGATGTGTATCGATTCAGTCAGTCAGTAGATGATACATATGCACTCTGATTACTACATGACTTTACTTTTCTTGCCTTTAACTAATTGAACAAGACCGGAATGTAGAGATGTGCATCACAATAACTACGTCTAAGTATAATAGTCTGCCAGTCATTTGTTAAGGAGACAAATATGGATATGCATAGTGATGCAGCTTTCTGTAAAAGCGATATTCTTTGATGACTTCTTCTTTTAAATATGTGTTTGATATGTCTCACTGAATAATTGTCACATTGGGAGAAGAATACCGATGCTCTATGTGTAATTATTCAATTTAGTATTATTCAGTTATGTAATTTTATTTCTGTACAGGGCCTCACCACATCGTACAAAATGTAATGGGTAGAAAATTGCATATCGCGTTTTAAACACAATACAACATCCATGTTAACATAAGGTACTAAGTTAAGCTGAATTCATATTCATCTCGTCGCTGGAAAACTTTTAAAAGATACAGAGCTAGTTGATATATGGTGTGGCAGTTTGTGTAGCGACGAAGTAAGCCCAGACTGTCAGTATTTGCATAATTGCATAAAATTATTGACAAAAGATCAGCCCTTAGATCATTATAAAATGAACATATAAAAACAAAGTGAATTTCATTTTCTATCATGCTAAATTCAAACGTATCACTGCAAAAACTAAAAAAATATTGATCTAACTGTATTTTTGTGTGTCTGCCTAATTCAACATTATGTTTATGGCTAAAACAGCGAAAACTCGTCAGTATATATTTTAGTCTATAATTGCTTGCCAATAAATCTCCCAGGTTATAATACTACATTGATTTTTCCGAAAGTACACAGCCTGGATGATTGTGAAATTGAGGCATGCCATTCTTGCTGACAACAATTTTTGTATTCTTTGAGTAAATATCCCTAAGAAATTTGGAGTATCTGCAACTTGTTTTTTAAACCAGGCAATGCCGAAACCGTATTTGAACAGGAGATTTTTATGTGGGTTTCCCAAATAAGTCTGCCGGTCTTGTCTAATCGTTTAATCATGATATAACATGTTTTGGGGTTCCAGCTATTTATTATTTAATTTTAACCAATATAAAATTGA